GGATGAAGAACACGGCTAAAAAATTCTTGTGCGTGGAGAACAAGAAAAGAACAAACAAAATAATCATAGTTTTCTCCATATAACAGAAACAAATCAGAGAAATTTTCTAAGCACCACTCTTCATTTCGTCGTATACTCATCGTCAGTTAAAATTGTCTGAAAGCTAAGCTCTTATCCTGAATGGCGAATTGTTTGAAGGAGGAGTCTTATTTGCGAGGAGAAGAGTTGGGCTTGTGAGATGTCAAGCCCATGGCCCAATTTCTACGGTGAATTTGGGCATGGATATGGTCTGAAATCTAAATCCGGAAATCTAGGATGTGATGGGCTCCAAATGAGACTTCGCTTGTAGCAGCCGTGTTCCCTCCAGTAGAAACAAGGGAACCGTGGCTCAACTGGTTCCGTTATACAATGTAATTCAAAAAGATCTATTTATTATTTTCAGTGTCTTCGAGGAAATATTTTCTATTATCAACAAAATTTACTCATTATATTTTAAAAGAAGAAGAAGAAGAAGAAGAAGAAAAAAAAAAGACATTAAAAAAGTGAATTATCTTTGGCCCAAAAAAAAAAAATTTGTCTGTCTATCACTTCATCAATAGTAGTGTATTACCCTTTAACCTCTGATGGATCCATCCCCTCCGCAGCCAATTGTAGTTCATTGACATAGGATGTTCATGAGATGGGAGGAGATAAGGATATTTCTATCTTGTGTCTCGTCTTGAAATATTATTAAGATCAAATTGTTGTCCCATGTTTTGTCCCATCCCATTAGAAATTGGGACAAGACCGGAACAGCAATAAATAATGTGAAAAAAATGTTTAGATAATAATATTTATTAATTAAAATTTTAAATCACGTAATTTATTAAGTTTTAAAACCAAAATAACATGACTACATAAATCACAACATTTATTGAATTACATCAATTACAATTATAAATATACATGAGACATGACACATTATGATAGTGGTTACAAGTGATCTCTTTGCTCTAAGAGAAACAATAAGAGACAAGCCCGACACAACATCAAGTCTTTGTTTTTCTTCTTTAGTTAAGATATATTAAGCTAGTGACTCTTTTGAAAATAAAACAAAAAATATGATGTAAATAAAAGTCATTAAATATGTAAATATAATAATCAATTATATTAATATAATTAATATATGGTAAAGAAAAATATTACCTTGTATTGTTTACTTTATTTCATTAAAATTATCAATATAAAAAGTTTTAGTTTTAAATAAAAATAGCACGTATTGAAATTATAATTGATGTAAGTATAAATTATATCAATATATTTAATGTATACATTTAAAATAAAAAATAATACATGCATCTATATAATATTTGGGACCCAACAAGACATTCTGAAAGCAATCTCATGTCCCGTCCTGTCCGAACCTCTTTTCCATCTCGTCCTGCAAAGTTTCATTCTAATTGTTTTTGAAGTTGGGATAAGACCCATCTCAACATGATCAAGACAAAATCGCGCTAATTATAATGGGTATAAGTTGAATATCCTCACATTAATAGTTTTTTTAGTAGCAAATGCAAAGTCTTCTATTATTTACCCAACCTTCACTTGCCTTCCAAGTCAATCCCTTCCGCATTTATTTACATAATTAAATAATCATTAATGCATTTTAACTATATCAATTAGTTGTGGTCTTTTATATTAATTATTACTCCCTCAAGTCTTTTTATAAGAGTTTTTACAAAAATTATCATTCTTATAAGAGGCTTTACACATTTTTAAAAGAATTCATTACTCTTGAGTCCCTTTGAAACACATACACATGTTTAATGTTCAGCCATGTCTTGAATAGATTGTCTCCAAAAAATAAATACATGTGTATAGTGAAAAAATAACTACCTATATCATAATTTATAAGATATTTTTAAAAAAGATTTGATATCTCAAAATATAATAAACTTTAAAAAATTGAGGTTTTATTAATTAAGCTTATTTCAATCTCTCTTACTCTTTAATTTTCATCTCTCTCTCTCTCTCTTCTCATTATGTTAAATGAAGGATATTTTTTTAAAATTTATATTTTTATTTTAAAAAACTAAAATTGTTAAGTGTATTTGATTAAATTTATTGGCTTGCAAAATTTTATTTAAAAGTATCTCGTAATTTGTTGTGAAGAGAATATTAATTACTTGTTTCCAAATTGCTGTTAATTATGTGTAGAAAGACAAGACTACAATATCTTAATGAATTTTATTGAAAAAATATGTACATATTTCGTTAAAGTTATCAATTTTAAATAGTTTGTTTTTTAATACATGTTAGAGTAGTTGAACGTCTCTTATATATTATGCTACTTTCAGTTTAAAATATAAACATTTTTGCTCAACTAATTTTGTTCAAAATATAAATAACTTGATATATGTAAAGAAAATTCATTTTATCACTTATATTTATTAACCTTAATATTCATATAAATGTATTTCTCACTCATCATAAAATATATTAGTAATTATAACTATGGATAAAAAGAAGAAAAAATATATATTTTTATGAGAATGAAGATTGTATTAGTACGTAAATTTTTTTTAATAAAAAAGTGCTTATATTTTGAATTAGAAGTATTAATTAAAATTCAAAATACTAGTAAAGTAAATTAAGTTATGGGATGGTAATAGGGGCATAACTTGGCTTAATTATTGCAAGTGAAATGCAGGAATGCATGAATGAGGCCTTTTCCACCGATCTGCTCTATGTTGACGAAAAATAATGAAGGTGTGCATGATAGCGTATACTTTACTTCAAGCAAATTAATTAAGATATCCACTCATTAATGTTCACTATATTATAGGGATGGAGGATCTCACTTATGAAATTCTCAACACTTTCACGTGCTCTTCTTCAAAAATGAATACGGGGGATTCTCGCTCCTAATTAATACCCTTCAAACCTATCATATTTTTATTATAGGATAACTTTTAAAAAGATTATTTAATTTTATAAGTTACTTGATGAAATATTAACTATAACTTTTAATACTATTTTTAGTTAAATTTATTAACTTTTCTTTGTCAGCAATTTAAACTCATTAATTATAAAAATAGTGTCATATAAATTTTTAAAAAATTATTTAAATAACATAAAATGTAAAGTTTATTATATTTTTAGACAAACTTAATAATTTAATTATATCCCCTTAATTTTAGTGAGGTAATTAAAAATGTAGAAACAAGAAATGGTATACTATTATAACTTCGTTTTCAAATCACTTCTCTATCACCTACATTAGTTATCTTTTATAATTTGTGTTTATTATACTATATTCTGAATCATGTTTCCCGTAAACATAAACACTACATAATTCATAACACTTAAGATCCTCTTTTTTAATATCGGACTCAGCTTCCCTCCTTTCGTCATCCTCCTAAGTCCTATTAAATTTAGGCAATTCAGATTTATATTCAACTTGGACCGTCAATATTAAATATTTTAATTTAATTACAATATATTTATTAAAAAAGAAATTTATAATTTCTTTTATCAAATCTAATCAGCAATATAGACAATCTAAATTTAATAATAATTTTTTTGGTATTTTAATATTAAATTTACACTATTAAAAATATATTTGAATTATCAATTTATACAAATTTTTATTGAATCTAATCACCAGTCTAAAAATTCAGATTTAATATAAATATTCAAAATTAATATCAAAATTTTGATAATTTTAATGTTAAACTTGCACAATCCAAAATTTATATGGACAATCAATTTAAAAAAATTATAAATAAATTAATATTAATTTTGAACCATCCATATTGAATATGAATTTAAATTAATAATGAAACATATTTGTTAGGTTTTTATAATTATTAATAAACATAAAATTTATATTTATTTTTTTATATTAATTAAAATTTGTAAAAAATTAATAAATATGTTTCATTATTAATTTATGCTAAATTTAGACGGTTTAAATATAATAAAGAATGCTTGTTAAAAAAATATATATAATAAGGAATGAGAAGAGGAAACCTAATACCCTCCCCTTTCTCTCTCTGTTCTTTTTCTTGGTGAAACTTAATCTATTTCTTTATCAGCATATCCAACTTTTGTTTTGGTAGAGCTAGTGATTTAATATTTTGTCTTGTTTCGAAGTATAAAAATCATTATATATATAGAGTATATAATTTTTTATTATATTTTAACTTAATGTATCTGACACAAAATTAAAACATCTGATACAATACATCCTTTCTTCACAGTAAAATAATTTAAAATGAAAATGAAAAAAAATACCTGACTGGCTTCCCTTCATTCCCCCCTTTCCATGTCCTCTTTACTTTCCATATTGATTATTTGAATTCATTTTTTAATAATTAAAATTTAATATTTTATAAAATTATTATTAAAATATAAAATTTTATAAAAAATTAATTAATTTTATGAAACTTTTAAAAATGAATTCAATAATTGAGATGGAAGGTGGAGAGAAAATGGAGAGATAAAAAAAATGAGAGAAGTCAAGTTTGAAAAATACAAAAAAAAAAAAGATATACATGTTCATGTCAGGCTGTATATGGGATTTGTTAATCTATTAAGTTGAACTTTTTTTGGACTTTCATAGAATATATTTTTTCATAGGTTAAACACAGAGTAGGTAAAATATAAATTTTAAGGATAATACAAGTTTAATCACAAAATTTTATGTTAATTATTGATTTAATTTTTAAATTTTAACTTAATACATTTCAGTTATTATAATTTATTGAATTAAAAAATTATAAGGACCTTGTACTAAAATTAAATAATTACACGGACTATGCTGTTCCAAATCAAGAATGTGTATATTTATAAATTTAATTGTTATGAATCAAAATTTAAGAACTGAATTTACAATTTAAAAAATCAAGGAATTAAAATTTATGTTTTTGCTAAAGGTTAAAACAACGTATATTTATCAATAAAAAACTCAGAACAACATAGTAAAATAAGGCAGAAAAAAGAGAGAGACATATAACAAAGATACAAATGAGGATATTATATTTAGTATTCAACTTGTTTGAGATTTACACAAGTGTCTATAAGCAATGGATGACTGGTTAGTCAAAATGCAAAATCCTAAAAAAAAAATACTAATATAACAAGAATTAATATTATTAAATAATCAGCCTGAGAAGCTTGCCCAAGAATGCCCAAAAATAAATTCCCCCCTCGGGGGGTTTGTAATTTATCACTAATCAGGGACACTTGACGTTTCTGCCGGGTCCACCGTAGTAAAAATAGTTGCCCCACACACGATTAATACCGCCTTGGATATCATAGCAATTCGGGTGGTCCGCAAGGACCCGAAGATTGGACAAAGGAATCAAGTTATTGTCCCAATCAACGACTTGCAAGTTTCGAAAGTAAGAGGCTCTTCCGAATCCTTCTTCCGCAAAATGCCCGCTTCCCATTTGGGTCATTGTGTGGGTACCCGACTCTCTCGAGTTCACTATTTCTCCTCCGAATTGAACCATGCTTGCATGTTGCCTCAGGTGCGTGAACAGCATCGCCGGCCAGTACCCGACTAGGATGCCCGACCCGAATTCCAACCACCAATTCCCGTGCTTCGGATCCTGTCATTCTCTAATCGGATCACAAAGGCGCTACTACGAGTCTACAATGGTTAACGAATACATTCTTTTTCGCAGCTATTTATTTTTGTTTCTAAAACTTATAAGAGAATTCCTAGACTTTTGCAGAGTAATAAAATTATAGTAACTTAAACTCCATAAAATTTATCACCATTCACTTAAATTCATGAAGTTATAAGAAATTTTTAATATTTTACAAAACGAAAATTTACAACTTAAATTTATTATTAAAGTTATAACAAATTTGGAATATTTCCTATCAATTTTTTATATTTTCATTATAACAATATTTTTATCCACCCAAGACAATAAAAAGAAGGTATTTATTACAAAATTAAAAATAATTCTTAAATGTCATCTTCCCGTAAATATAAGCCCTGCCTCTACTTTAGAGTTTTTAGACACAAAATTCAATGGCAACACGAGACTTCCAAAACAGTGGAGATCCCACCATTGACCCATCCTTTCCATTTTTTTTCCTTTGACTACGAAAAGAAAAAAAAAAAAACACCTCTTGGTCCATTTCACGACTTATGTGACAAAGCTTGACTTTTACCATTCACATTAAAAAGGTTAAAAAAAAAAATCAAATGAACTCACCTACCATAAATGAAAAAAGTATTAAATTTAAATCTGCTTCTTATTTGAATTTGAAAAATATCATTTTGAATTAATCAGTAATATTAAACATGAATTAATTGTGTAGAAGTATTAAATTTAAAGCAGAAATATAATTACCTTCCAAATAAGCAAGCTAATATCAAATTGTCCGCCCTTGTAAGAAGAAGTAGGTGAAATGGCAGCCCCAATTGCAATTCTATTGTTAGTTTGAACAAAGCCAGAGCACAATAAATTGTAACACCCAGTTGCTTGATAAGCATCACTCTGCATCCACACATATCATCTTACACTTGAACAACAAGCAAAACACAAACATTTAATAAGTAAAGACAACATTGTAATAAATCCACTTACAGTCCAATAAGTAAAGAATCTGGGGTAGCTGTCGCCATATAGCTCAGGGCTGACCTGCATCAAAATTGATGCAACTTAGCTTCTTTGCTTGCTTGCAATCCAAATATTATTAATTACACTGACAACGGCAAAAAAATTGAGAGGTAGGTGGTTGTTGGTGGTGGCCTTTTAAATGCTTATCTAAGTCGCTAAGTGTGATGCATTAATAAGAAAGTTCACGATACAGGGAAAATAGAGTGTTTTGTGTTGCAAATAATTTAATGAGTGAACAGTACCTGCCAGCCAGCTTCAATGGTGTTGAGATCTTGCCCAAATGAACCAGAAATGACCCAAATTTGAGACAAACTGAATTCATATTGATTCGTCACACGTGGAGCCCACACGTTTATGCTTGCTTTTGCTCCGTAATACTTATCACCACTCACAAATCCAACTGCATGCTGAACATAACACATAACCAAGTTTGTAATACAGTCACAGATTGTGAAATTTTCTTGAACAGGTTGGTGGGTGTGATTTGAAGATGAACATGAGCCTGTTTTGTTAAATCGTAAGAGAGAAAGACAGTTCTGAAGTTGTTGCTTTGGAGTAAGGGAAACTATTTGCAGAGGAATTCTGAAAAACTATGGTCATCACTGTCGTAAACAAGAAAGAGGAATTAATTTGGGTGGTGTTTGGTGGTCAGATTTATGGTTATGGATTTAATTGTAGAATCAGAATGCGTAACAAAATGGCAATATTCTGTCATATTTTCTTGTATCTGTTCTTAGTTAAATGCTTGACTTCGTCAGAGGAGAGAAAAAGAAAAGAAAATTCTGGCTTTGAGATAGAAGAAGAATGAATGAATACCTCATGGCCATTACTATTTGAGTCCCTCCTCACACGGCCTCTGATTTTTCTTCCAAATCTGCGAACCGAGCTGGCTCTTAACATGTCTTCTTCTCTTGTTCTTCTGATTGGGATTGTTCCTTCAGGACATGATTCTCCAGACAAAGTCCATGTCTGAAAATTCTCATCACTCAACGAACCCATTTGGTAATGACTGGTTTTTGGTCTTTCTGGAGGATCCTGAAAATTAAAAAAAGAAAAGAATTCCAGTATTCTGGTTAAAATCCATATCAGTATCGGAGAACCCATTCAGATAAATATAATTTCAATACCAATGGTTTCTGCCCTTTGAGAAAAGGATGATCAAAAGCTGGTTGCTGATGAGACACGACACAGTCTATTATATCACCATCAGGACTCTGCGCAAAACCACACAAATATTCATGACATATGAAAACAAAAGGACACACACAAACAGAAAATTTGATGTACCTGAATTGTTTTAACATAAGGCTTGTTAATCTGGTGGAGACGAGTTCTTATGATGTTGAGTTTTAGAAGCTCTTTCTGGGGGTGAAAAGTCTGATTGAAAATCTGAGACTGAGAGGAATGGACAGGACAAACTAGAGAAGCAAAAAGAACGAGTAAATGTACAAGAAGGGAAATGATTGGAGAGCTGAAACACAGGCTAAAATCCATGGTTGAGAAATTTCTTTGGCTTGTTTCTATTCAGAACCATGCGTACTATTCAGAACCATGCGTGTGTCTGTTTGTTGGCATTGAGGTTGTCTTCTTCTTCCATGAGAAACGGAACAAAACCAGACTTGGAACTCCACTCATCACAGAAGAACCACTATTCTAAGCACCTTATAATTTAGTCTCCTTCACCATTTCCAATTCCTTGAAATCGCAGAACAACAGCAACTTTCTTCTATTCTCTCTCACTCTCTCGGGTCTAGTGCTTGAAATTTGAAAGACAATGGATATAGTATTTCAGACAACTTGAAGTCTTAGGCTTCTAACTGATCAAGAATACACAGAAAAGAAAAAAGGGTTGAGTTTTCTTAAAGGTTTGGCCATGTGGGGTGGAACCGTGGAAGTATAAATGCCAGAAAATCATTCCGACTTTCAAATATGAGAGAGAGAGAGATTGTCCCCAGACCGCAATACAAAGACTGAAACTTTAGCTGTGTGTGTGTGAATATTGAAGGGCAAAATGGTACATATGATTTCCTGTTATTCTTTTTTACTTCGGGTCTGAAGACAGATGGGAATTATATTAGAAAAATTATATATATATATATATATATATATATTTTTTTTTTTTTTGCTTTTTCTGCTTTAAAGTTCCTCCTTTCTCTCTTTCTTTCCCACTTCCCTAGATGTTCTATTTGTCAGCCATTCCAATTTAATTTTCATTTCAAATTTATACATCCATGTATATACCCAAAATGCGAGGGTCTGGATAAGCTTATTCTAGCCAAGCAACATAAAGACATTTGTCTAATCCTAGATTCAACCATTATTGAGTTTAATTAAAATATAATTTTTAAAACATGACTTTTTTATTTTTGAAAATTCAAACCCTCAAATTTTCTTAAAAAAATACATAGTTCATTTCTTTCATCTAAGTTTTTTGCCATGAAATTTTAAATATTTGTTAAGAATTAAATCCAGAAGAGAATAATAGTAAAACAATCTTATTTTACAGTATAATCATTTTAATATGTCTGGAGGGTAGTGGTGAATTAATGAGAAAGAGTAAATAGGAAGAAATATGAGTTACAAAAGTAAAGACAAAATATGTAGACATGGCGTCTTCCTTAATATATCATCAATTTTAATTACTTGTTTTATTTTTTTTGGTCAGCACAGATAATAACTTCGAATGTGTATAACAAATATTTAATTATTATTATTATTATTATTATTTAAAATTATTCACGGGCACATTATTAGACTTGAACCGCGAAGTTTAGAAATCTCAAACTCGCTGAGCTGGACGTTGAATTTTGATTACATGTTGATGCAATTTGAATATTTGATAAGTACCCTTGATCACCACGCAATTTCTTTTTCTTTTTAAAACAAATCATGTAAAAATTCTCTATCAGATAGTTTATTGTGCACGCTTCTTTTCTCAGTAATGAAATTTAATATTTGAACAAGTTAATTGTGTGACAAATTTCTATTCCAAGAAATTAATCACATTTTGCATTAGTAATAATTTTTATACTGAAAAAAAAGCAAACGCGGGAGAAATCTATAGATATTCAACTGAATACGGAAATTAAATTTGCCTTTAAAATTAAGGGTTGAATCATAATTATATATATATATATATATATGAAATTAGGGTTTGAGTATATTGTGCTTCTTTTTAGGTGTGTGGCAATGATGCTTGCCACTTTGTGAGCAGTCCCTTTACAATATAACTTGTGAATTTTTAATTTCTTGTTCTCAGGAAAAAACCCTAATTTATAATTAAGAAAAAAATGTGGTGTGTGTGTGTGTGTGTGTGTGTGTGTGTGTGTGATCCATGGAATCTCATGGTCCAGAGCGTAGCGTACTACCACCACCAAAGTCACTGTCATCACTGTTGGTTGGCGTAAATATATTAGCAAAATTTTATAATCTCAGTGAATTAATATAATACATCTCACAAACCTTCACTTATAATTTGTATTTAATGAAGTTTGCACCCGCAACTCTATTTGTAGGCCTTGTAATTATATACACTTAATTACTTTCTGTTTCTCAAGTGGTTAGTTTACTTCTAATGACTTTTTATTTCACTATCTGTCATAATAGTACGCGCCGGTCAAGATAATATTAAGTTTGACCATTATATATATGTTTTTTTTATTCTATTTATAAATAACTTTTTAACATATTTAATTAAAATTAAAAAATTAAATTTTATTAAATTTATTTTAAAATTTAATAAGTTTTTATCTTTATTCCTAATAAATATTTTTAAATTTTATTACTGATATTTTTATTCAAAGCATTTAATAAGGACAAAAACATAAGAGAAACCTTAAAAATTAGGAAGTGCCTTATAAATAGAATTAATTTTTTTCTCTCTACCTTATAAATAGAACCAGAAAGTATATTATTTTGAAGGAATGCGGCACAAATATGTACATATGTGTTAAATATTAATTAAGCAGTGTTAAATTGGACTTGGATTTCATGAATGCCTCAAATCTTATCATGAGTATCGCATTAATTACAATCGTAGAATTTTATCATTACTTGAAAGTTTATGTTTGAACATGAATAAATGAAACAATGAGTTAAATGATAATTTTATGATGAGAATGTATGTCAATCATTTCTCTACAACTATATAAATTGTTAGATTAAAATATAGCACATAAAAATGGCAAAGTTGTAATTTGATATTCTCTCTCTATTTTGTGCTCACATTTCTAGCAACCATACGATTAAAATGATAATATCTATGGTGCCATGCGACTGACTAAAAAGATTCAAGACATCTATCAAATTGACTATGTGTTAATTACCACTGCACGCATATGCTCTCGTGTGAAAAATTAACCCATGCTGGTGGATGTGGGCAACAAAAACGTGCAATTTGTAGATACTTATATGTTTTTTTTAATACTTTGGCATGATATAAATCAATTTTATGAAAAAAATTATAATCAGGTCCTAAATAAAAATTAATTATTTTTTCAGTTCACTTACAAGTTAAACTTTAACATTTACAAGTAAATGGAATCTATAATTAATTTTCTCACACGAGACTCATACATAATTTTCTTAATTTTATCATTCAACAATTAAAGGCAAAAAACAGAAGATGGATTCATAATTAGGCAATACATGCACCTAACTTCTACTCAAATTCTTATTATAATAAATATAATATATATGAAATGATTTAATAGTAATTAAGGTCAGTGATGTATTGCAATTGCATGCATGGGATATATATTCGGTCCTAAGGCTACTTGGGTTGCAGAACCCTTTTTCCTCGGGTCGACCTTTTAGTGGTTTATATATGTAAAAAACAGAATATTTTAATAATCTCTAAATTAGTCCATCGAACAACCTGTTAATTCTAAAGCTGCAGATACAGATCTCATGATTTCTCCATTCTTTCATTGTTTTTTTTTTTGTTTTAATCTTGTTATGGTGAACTCGTTACTCTCGTGTGTTGTAAACAATGAACTCGTTACTCAAATTTTATTGGAAAACATTTGAAACAAATTTAATTGCTGTTGTCAAGTATTTTAGATTATTCTAGTTATATCTTTTACAACATTTGCAAAGCAACTCTCATCTATAAAAAAATATAATATTTAATAATTATTTTAAAATAAACGTTAAGTATGTGTTTAAAGTATTTTTGATAATTTTTATCAAGTCAAAACTTAATTTTTATCATAGATACTAAGGTTAAGGTGAAACAACCATCAAGTATTTGATAACTGATAACATTTGACTGTAATTTTTAATTAATTGTATTTTTTATGCAATCTTGTTCAAATATAAATAGATTTAAATTCATGTAAAAGTTCACATAAAAAAAATTAATTTTTATAAAATAATATATGAATAAAGTAAAATGATTCATAAACCTAAATCTAGTGCTTTGATGAGTTCAAATATTATGACATATTTGTATTAAAAAATATTATGACATATTTCCTTCATCCTAAATTATAAGAAACTTTTAGATAAAATTTTAAATATTAATAAAACTCATTAAATAGACTTTACAACTTTACTTTTTTAAAACAAAAATATAAAATTTTAAAAATATCTTTCATTTAATACTCCATTAATGAAAGAATATTAAAAAAAATTGAAAAAAATAACATATGAAAAGGGTAATATTAACAAAATATCATTAATAAAATTTTATTTTTATCAAAGTATTTTATATTTTAGGATGATAAATATTTTTAAAAGTATCTTATAATTTGAGACTGAAAGAACATTTCATTACTCATCATCCATTTATTATCTCTTGTCATTTTTGAATTGGTATCCCTCATTCCTAACATCCATGTATACTCTAACTTAGGCGTAGGCAGGTGTGATATTCATTATTACTATACTTAACTTGACAAATGACAAAGCAAACGATAGGGCTATATTTTGGGTATATGAAAAAATCAAAGTAAAGTAAAAAAAAATGGATAAAAAGAGATACACCAGAAACTTTATTTTGTCTGCATGTAGTCAATGTAATTGCCTTGTTTTTTTTTAACTGAATCAATGTAATTGCTGACTTCATGGCCTTTGTCACACGCGCTGCGCATTGTGGATTTATTAACGCATCATTTTTTTTTAATAACATTTATAGATGCATTGTGCTGTTAATTCATGACAATTAAGAGGGGGGAAAAGGTAGAATCTCATCATTTCGAAGTCAGCAAAATGACCCATGACTCTACTTTATACCCATGACCCTTTAGTCTGACCGAAATTAAATCTGCAGTCAAACTATTCAACCAAGAAACTTTGACTTTGACTAACCTATTTTTCTTCCAATGGGGTCATGCATGCATCACCTAAACTCATCATATAGTAATAGGAATTTATATAATCATTGCATGCTTCGCCCTTTTTGCTTTTAATTCTCCGGGGAAATTGCTTTCAGATTAAAATTTTGTATTCCATTTGAAATTAAATTAGCTGCCAGAAATCATATTTTCCTCGCTTCATTTAAATTCATGAACTTGAGCTGCTGAAATTTTTTTTGCTCACACACAAACACACACACATTAAGAAGAAGCATAATTTACAAGGAAATTAAGAAAATAAATTAAAGTTAGGAGGAACTTTTTGAGGGGTTCAATTCCTTCAAGAAACCTCGAAATAGGAGAGTGACGAATAAAGTAAAAGATGCAGAAAACCATTTGATCATTTCCCTGAATCTTCATTCACCCCTTCCACAGACGATATGTGTGTTATGTTTTCTAATTTCTATAACATATATTTCACTTGTGAAGTCATTAATATTCTTGGACTTGCTGATGTTTCTCTCCAATTCTATTTAAAAATTACTTTTAACATATTTTATTTGAATTAAAAAAGCTTTAAGATTCACTAATTTTCTTTGAAGTTTTAAACTTTA